CGCTTCATTCGCGATTGAAAAATCCGAACAAACACTAACCAAACACACACATTCGACCAAACAAAATCGTTGCCCAATTACTGAATTTCAACAAAACAAACAAACAAACGAAATCAATCTCAAAACTCGTTTCCGGCCGCGTCGAAATCGAAAATCAAAATCAAAATCGAAATAATCATTAATCAATACTAAAAATGAATACGAAATGAAACAAAAAAAAAATGAAAATCAGGACCTGCTGGCCAGTCAGTTCCTGCCCAGGTACATCAGTCCGCTGAGGGCGTCTTCAAGGCCGAGTTTGTGCCTCGCGTCGTGGGCGAGCATCGCGTCAATGTCACGGTCAATGGATTGGCCACCGCCGGTAGTCCCTATGCAGCGAAGGTATGCACTCCAGACCCAATCTGGAAGTGAGATATATTGAAATCGTTTACTTATTCCAGGTCTACGATGTCAGCGCCATCAAGGTGAAGAATGTAAGCAGTGGAACAGTCGGCAAGCCCGTCACCTTTCTGGTGGAGACCTCCCAGGCGGGTCCCGGAAATTTGGAGGTGACTGTGAATGGCGGCCGAGTACCGACCTCGGCTCAGGCCCAAGGACAGCACACCTATGCAATTAGTTTCACGCCCCGTGAGGCCGAAAGCCACACCGTGGAGCTGCGGTTCAACAGCCAGGATGTGCCTGGGTCTCCGTTCACCTGCCGCGTGGCCGCCGCAGCTCGCATCCAATCCCCAGAGACGATGGACAAGGTGAGCGTTGGAAGGCTCTTCGAATTTGTGGTGGAATCGGACACCAAGCCCACCGTTGAAGTGCTGGGACCCGCCCGCCGCAGTGTTCCAGTCAAGATCGACCCCTTGGGCTCCTCCGCCCTGGGCTACAACGTGAAGTTCGAGCCCATGGAAGTGGGCGATCATTCGGTGGAGGTTCGCCTGCCCGGCGGTGGCCATGTTGAAGGAAGCCCCTTCCTCTTGAAGGCATATTCTGCGGAAAAGGTGATTGTCACGGACATCCGAGCCGGTGTGGTCAACAAGAGCGTCAGCTTTGGAATCAATGCCTCCCAGGCGGGAGCTGGCAATCTGGAGATCATTGTGGCCGTCAATGGCAAGAATGTACCCAACTTTGTCCAATCCGAGGGCAATGCTCGCTTCAAGGTGAACTTCAAGCCAACGGAGGCGGCTTCCCACTCGCTCTCGGTACGCTTCAATGGCCATCCCGTGCCGGGGTCGCCCTTCAGCTGCCACATTGCAGCTGCGGCCGCTTCGCCATCTATGGGACTACCGCGCGCCATGGCTATGGGAGAGTGCCTCAAGCAGGCGGCCGTCAAGATGGACAACACCTTCGAGCTGGAAGGCTTCGAGGGAGTGGAGCCACAGATCTTTGTCACCTCTCCATCGGGTGACAACGAACATTGCCAGATGAGCCAGCACGATGGTGGCAGCTACTCCGCCTCCTTCCGGCCCAGCACTGTGGGTCGTCACCTGATCAGCGTGACCGCGAATGACCAGCACATCAACGGTTCGCCCTTCAGCTGCAATGTCTTCGATGTTTCGCGTGTCAGCATTAGCGGACTGGAGCAGCAGTATGGTCCGGCCACACTGGGAGTTCCTGTGACATTCAGTGTGGATGCAGCCGGAGCTGGTGAGGGCACCTTGGAGCTGGTAGTCTCCACCGACAGCAGCACAGTCAAGGCCGAGGTGGTGGCTTGTGCCCGAGGCCTGTACGACGTGACATTTGTGCCACAGAGCACGGAGCCCCACTATGTGAACATCACCTTTAACGAGGTGGCCGTCGATGGCAGTCCCTTCCGCGTGGACATCCAGCAGCACACGCAGCACATACAGATTGGCAGCCTGGCCGCCATTGACTTCCCGGCCGATGATCAGATCGTGGAGATCATATCCCCCGATCAGAAGTCCGTGCCGTACACAATCAATCGACAGACGGCAGAGTTCCGCACCCATGTGACTGGAAACTACACGCTGCGCTTCATCGATCGGGAGACGCGCCAGCACATTGGATCGCGCACCCTCTGCGCCTTCGATCCAATGCTCGTCAAGATCACAGAGGTGGGGGAGGCATTCTGCCATCGCCCGGCCAGCATTGGCGTCTCCCTGAACGAGGCCGGTCAAGGGGACCTTTCTGCCCTTGTCCGTTGCGGAGCGACCGAGGTTCCACACACCATCCGCGGACCCAACAAGGCCGGCGTCTATGAGATCGTCTATCAGCCAACCCGTGTGGCTCCCCACAAGATCAGCATCCTATTCAACGACGTTCCCATCTCGCTGAAGCCCCTGGAGATCAACGTGCTGCCGGCCAGTGCCGGGAAGGAGATCAGCGTCAGCGGTTTGGGTCTTTACCAGGCGAGAGTGGGCAAGACCACGTCCTTTGCTATTGATACCGTGAAGAGGCCGGCGAGGGAGTTTGATGTGGTGGTGTCGGGCCCCGGAGGACAGGCGCTGCCCGTCCGCTGCTACCAGACCAAGAACGGACATCTTCAGGCGGAATTCAGCATCAACAAGCCGGGCCAATGCCTGATTGGTGAGTATAAAAGATCGATTTCTCACATTTCAGTTCCTTACTAATCTGATGTTTCGCAGAGGTACTTCATCAATCAAAGCCGCTGCCAGGCAGTCCCTTCACCTGTGAGTCCTTCGACAGCAGCAAGGTCAGCATCCAAGGCGTCACCAAGGAATCACTAGCACTGCACAGCCCCAACAGCTTCACCGTGCGCACGGACAATGCCGGAACAGCCGAGCTGGAGGCGTTCGCCATCTCGCCCAGCAACCAGAGCCTGCCCGTTCTTATTAACGAGCAGTCGGAAGGCCTCTACAACGTGGAGTTTGTGCCCTCCCAGCCAGGAAACTACAAGCTCACGCTGATGTACGGCGGGGAGACGATTCCCAGCTCGCCCCTGAACTTCACCGCCTCGGCCAGTGGCGTGAGGAACGATGCCAGGGCAGCTGGTCATGGGTTGGAGGTGTGTCATCGGAACAAGGAGGCTTCGTTTGTGGTCTACTGTCCTATTGCTCCGAATGTGCAGATCGAACGACTGGACGAGTATGGAGAACGCATTGAGCCAAAGATCAAGGCTCTGGGCAATAACGAGTGGCGCATCTCCTACGTAATCCTCTCGGTCGGCAAATACGAGATCCGAGCCAGCTGCCCCAATCGAGGCAGCCTGCCCGGCTCGCCCTGGCACATCTCCTGCGTGGAGTCCAACAAGGTCACGCCAGTGGGTGGCTGGGGTACGCTGGTTGACCATGACGGACGGTTGATTCTACCCGCCCGCATCATTTTCGAGGTGGATAATGCGGGACCTGGCAAGCTGGTTTGTAGCATCGATGGTATCGAGATACCCGTGGACCAGATGTCTGATGGAAAGATGTGCCTCAACATCACTGGAGAGAATCTGGCTGCGGGGGAGCACGATTTGGACCTGACCTGGAGCGGACTGACCATCACCCAATGTCCGAGAAGCGCCTTTGTCACAGGACAACAAGCTGCGGATAAGGTTCAGCTGATGGGCCGTGGTCTGGCAGCGGCACAGGCGGGCGAGGCGGCTCACTTCACTATCGATGCCTCGAATGCGCCGGCTGGCAGGCCAGAGGTAGTCCTATGCACCAGCCAGGACAACACATCGCTGGCCGTCAGCCTGTCGCAGCCCCGTCCCAGCGAAAACATATGGCTGGCCTCGTACACGCCGCAGAAGTCCACCACGGGCACACTTACACTGTCCGTTAAGTGGAACGGCCGATTGGTCAAGGGCTGTCCGCTCACAGTGGCTGTGGGCTCCTCCATGGATGCCTCCAAGGTGATTGCTTCCGGCGAGGGCCTGCGCCACGGTATTGTAGGCAAGGATATCAAGTCGTGGATTGACACCAGGCGAGCAGGTCCTGGCGAACTAACCGCCCACTGTGCCGGTGTCCGCAAGGTGGCCTACTGCGAGCTCTACGACCATGGAGATGCCACATTCACCCTAAACATCAAGCCGCAGGAGCCGGGTCGTCATCTGTTGACCATCAAGTATGGCGGGCAAAATGTGCCCGGCTCTCCCTTCGCTTTAAAAGTGGCCGGAGCACCAGACGCCAGCAAGGTTAGTTGAGAAAATCATATTGACTATATACACAGATATACTCATGGCTCTTCTCCTCCGTAGGTTCGCGTTTATGGCCCGGGCATAGAGCACGGTGTACTGGCCACCTTCCAGTCCCGTTTCATCTGCGACACACGTGGCGCCGGAGCAGGACAGCTGACAGTTCGCGTACGCGGTCCCAAGGGCGCCTTCCGCGTGGAAATGCAGCGCGAGAGCCAAAAAGATCGCACCATCCTGTGCAAGGTAAGAGGGGAGAACGAGCCTTTTAGCCTATCGTAATGCTTAAATTTATCTAAATCATTTGCAGTACGATCCAACCGAGCCCGGCGACTATCGCGTCGAGGTCAAGTGGGCGGGCGAGTTCGTTCCGGGATCGCCCTTCCCCGTCATGATCTTCGACACTGAGGAGGAGTTACGAAGGTTCTTGCAGGGCATATGAAACCGACTCAATCACCACGTCATCGTCTTCCCCAGTGGCCTCAGCCCCCTGCCCCCTGTCCGCAACCAGCCACGACGCCGGGCCTCGACCTGCACTCCCCTCTAGACTCCAGACACCAGACTCCCTTTGTAGTATATTTTAATAAGCTAGCTAACCCACAGAGATAGATGGATGATGTTATACTAAACTTACTAGCTAACTTGACGACAGAACGAAGCGATTAACAAAATCTCTAGGATAATCCCAAGGGAAGGATACGATTGTCTTTCGCCCTTTTATATTTATAGAGTTAATGTGTTGTACAATGTAAAAATTGCAATTATATTTGTCTAGATATGTAGCGTTGTATGCAATACAGAAAGAAGTACACCCTTACCGTACGCGTATCTCTGTGAATTTTCGAACTAATTCCAGCAGATTTTCAAATTAAAATATGAAAATATATTCAAATTAATTTAGAAACGAGATATTTTACCATGTAGGAGCATTAAACTCCTCTGGCAGAGCAAACTCATTGACAAATTCCTTGCGATATGTTCGCACAAATTCAATCAAGTTATTCTCTAGCTTCATTCTCTGAGCCTCTTCCAAACTGTGTCTATTGTCTGCATCGCGTAAATTAGTGTTGGTATCCATCATCAATATGGCCAGCAATGACCGGCGGTTCTTCAACTGTAGATCCTGAAATCTTTCGTGCATTATAAGTTCTGTCCAGGGCTGTTCGAAATACTCCAGGAAATTCTCTATCCAGCCACTCTTCCACCGGTCCCTCATGTTATTCAGCAGAGCCACGTGCCGGCCGCAAAAGTATTCGAGAAACAATAAGCTTTTTTTCTAAAGAAGGAGCTACAAAGTTGATGCGATCCCAAATTAGCTACAACAGAAAACTATTACCTTTTTTGTGACGCACACAATCTCCATGACAATCATCTTGGGGTTCACTCGAACGCGACAGAAATCGCCATCCTGATACGTCGTCATGCTCTCCATATATTCACTAGACAGCTGAGCCTTAAGCAGGGGCTGGGGTGCAACTATCTTCACTACCTGGTAATCCAGCGGTAGACGGCCCGTGAATATATTCACCTTCGAGAAACGCTGCTGAGTCGATCCAGCCTGCATATTTAGGACGAAAGCCAGCTAAAGGAGACGACACTGAGTTTCTAGGAATCGTTCAGTACTGTTCAGTACTTTCGGAGCACTGAGGGCTTACCTTCTCAGCGCACTCTTGGGGATTGGTATGAGTGTACTGATAGTTGGGACTTGGAACCATGGTGATGTATTGGCCAATGGCATAAATATTGGGGTCGTTGGTACAATACTCGTTATTGACAATGATTTTTTTGTTTGACAGCTCAATTCCAGAGGCAAGCAGTACTGTGAAGGAATATAAATTAAAAAGTTAATTGCGAGTATTCATGATCTACTTCTCTCAAATCCTGAGCACATGAAACTCTCGTTAAAATTGATAAAGATATCACAGTTCAAAACGATTAGTTTCTGACTGGGAATGAGCTGGAACTCTACGCTCTCGATGTTAGCCTTATTGGGGAAGAAGATTAGTCTGCTAAAGTTGGCGGACAAGTAAATTTCTATGCCCAAATCGGCCACCATCTCTATGAGAATCGGATCCAACCCAGCGTCCTCTCTGGGATAAAGGATTTGTTCGGATACCACCGGAATATGCGGCTGCACATATGTGATGTCCTTTGGCTGGCAGCCATGGGTAACAAGAAAGTTGATGCACTCGTACACGGCCAGACTGTAGCCATAGATGATAATCGGAGTGCACAGGTAATCGTTTTCAAATAAGTTCTGCAGCTTGTGGTAGAGTATTACTTTGTCGAGGCGATAATTAATGACTGAATAGTTGTGCGGCATTGCGACAGTGGTGTCCTCGTCTTTTAACCCGTACCTAATGTCATTTAGCAGAAGTAACCTTTCGTAGCGGATATTACAGCTGTCCGACAAGCGAATCACCTTCTCAGTCCTGCAAATTATCAAAGGGAGATCAGAGTCATCAGAGAAATTACTCACGTCAGGTAGACCCACCGATCGATAGACTCCAGATTGCCAGGAACAAACTGCACCCAGTGCCGCAGATCCATTCGGTGCGTGGCGTCCTTCACAAAGGGACAGCTGGAGCCAATGCTCACATAGCATAGCTTGTTCCCCTTACAATAGCTACAACTGAAGTCGGAATCATAGGCCGCCTCCACCACGCCATGTGGCACTATCACTGTGATATCGACCATGGGCAGGCAGTTGTATCGCTTGAAATTGGCAAAGCTACATACGATTCAGTTTTATTTCATTATTAAATTTCATTTCATGGCTACCTGCAGCACTTACTCTTTACTGTTCCAACCAAAGATAATATGGCGCAGGAAGGCCCGACATATATCAGAGAAGCCCACAATGACCAACGGACTGGGAATGCCCATCGGCTTGCTGGGCAACAGATTGTGGCAGACGACGTGCAGATGATCGCTGATGAAGTTGATTTTTGGGAAATTAACCGTATCAATCTGTCGCTTAATACCGTCCGTGTCGTTTTGCGGAAACCAATTCCTCGTCACCCGACGCGGCTCCACAGGCATCATGTTGTACATTAGATCGTTGGGCAACGAAAGGCCCTACAAAATTGAAAGAAACCAAAACTATAGATTGACTGTAGTAAGGCAGGAGGCAGTTCAACCCACCATAAATTGGTGGAAGTAATATAGTTCTCGATAATTATCTTGGATTGCCACAGATCGAACGATTATGTCACACCAGATGTGGAAAAGAGGATGCAGCTTGAATATGACGATCTCCCCGCGCCTGTAAGTCAGAAAGAACTCATCCCGAGGCAGAAAGAATTTCTTGCTGAGAGCGTCATAGTCAGTAAAGGGCCTGGAGGATACGAGAGAATAGACTTATTGCGGCAGCACCCCTAATTCACTTTCACTAACCGCAACACAATAAAACCAACTATAGTGCGGGATTTGGAGTTGCCGCAGTGTATGGTATAGCAGGTGAATTCGGTTTCGTCGTTGCTGAAAATGTCTGAGAAGATTTGGTCAATGATTTGACACCCCTCCGGTGGTATCTGGGTAGACACTGTCCAACTTATCCCACTCTCCTGATCCCCGTCGGGATATACAGTCTCCTTAGAAGGAGACGGTAACCGCAACAGGGTTGTAATTTCATCGAGTTCACTCTTCTTCAGGGGAAAAATGTGTAGGTCCCCAAACAGAGTGCAGCGGTGAGCAACGAATAGACTATCCGATACAGTGCTATTGGGACGATGTGCAGTCCGCTGGAAAAACAATGGATGCTGGAACCCAGTGGCTATGAGAACTTCTCTTGTACTCACCAAGAAAAACCTAATCAACTCTCTCAGACTCTTGGACCCCGTCGATGTGTGTGGCACTCTGAGCACACAGTAATCGAGCTCCGGAAATGCGCTGAACATGGCAGAAAGATAGAAAAATGTAAACTCAATCCTCACCTTAGGATTCAGATTGAACATCTTCAGCAGAAATGCGCTGGAGGCCCTCCTGAAGTACTGGACTGCATTTTCTTTATCGTAGTGCTCTTCGTCGTTTGGCAGATCGAAGGCAATCTCCAATATCTCCGGTTCTGCGTTCATATAGTAATGACCCTTGCGCAGATCTAAAAATATTTAATTACAAATTCCACAGATTCGGTCTTTGAGATAGAGTCGAACCCACCATCGTAGATGGACTTATAGCGGGAGGTAAGAAGATGGCTATGCCTTAGCTGGAAGTCAGTCTCTAACGGATTATTCGTGAACATTATACTGGACATAGTCGTGGCGCTGCCCGTTGAAGTTTTCTGTTTTCCGATTAGTACGGACTCTGAATATAGATCTTTATACGGCTTAGTGTGCGCCGAACTGAAAAGTCAGACCTCAAAGAATTCAATCCTGTAGTAATGCAATGTTCAAACCACTCACATGACTTCGAAGGTAACCCGGCCATGTTTGGCTCCAGGCGTGCATCGAGTAAGGTTACCGAGTCGATCCAGATGAAAGTTTTTTGCCAGTAGCTCCACATCCAGCTTGTCCGTTAGCCACATCAGGCCTGCGATAGAGTCGGCCAACTGTTTGGAGATTTCTCTGCACAGTACTTTAAAGTGGGGCTCAAAAAACTTACCTCAGCAACGACGATTAGCTCGTTTTGCCCAGTTCTTTCTGAGGCGAGAAGCTCCTCGGCTATGTAGAAATCTCCATTTTGCTTCCGTAGCTCCGGCTCCTCGTGGTCTATCATCTCCACAATGTCGTCGTTGTCCTCGGGTCTGTGCGGTGAAAAAGGGCTTAAGCGAGAGCGAAATTCCCTTATTCACAGGGCCTTACAGTGCCTTCCGAAAGGAGATGGTTGGCATGACGTCTCTGCGATTGATTATAATAATCGAAGGAAGACCTCTTTGTTCCGATAATATAAACAACTTGGGGTAATATATCTGGCCGTACGCTTGTACGGAATCATATGCATCGGTCCTTTGGAGATTTGGTGGCATAGCGATAATCAAAAAATGTACTTTGTGTTCGTTGTAGAATAACTCCATGATGATGTCTATTAGAATGGTGGGATGGTCATTCCGACAGATGAAAAAGTTTAAGAACATCGAGTTCAGCAGACTGAGGGGCAGGTCCAAGCTGCAAAGAGAGAGAGAGATGGAGAGAAAGAGAGATCAATCAAAAAAGAGTTTACCGGGTGGTTTCATAAACCTACCAGAAGCGGGCACTTAGCCAGTGCAGCCACAGGTCGTTGGCCAGCACTGGAATGTTGGGGTGAATGTTGAACTCGCAGTACGCCAGAAGGCTGGTGAATTGGTTGGGATCGTAGACAATCAGCCGATAGGCTTGATGCTCAGAGAACAGCTGCATCAGGGGAGGCCTCCTCTTCTCACCGAAGTGACGGGTACTAGAAGAGCTGTATAGAGTCTCTATTCGGGGCAGATCCTGGATCCCAGCCATCCGAATCACATAGTTTGTTGACTTAGCCATTTAATGGTTGCTCAGATAATACAAATATATATTTTAAATGGTTCACACAACATGGAAAAAGACTACTTGGTTATAGACGGTTTGAGCTACATATCTATGGTCACTTCTTCGATCTCTGCCTCCGTCTCAGGATCGCTGTCCCATCCCGCTGTACCGGGAGTCAGGAAGTCCTCGGGCAATGCAAACGGATGATGGAAGTCCCTTCGGTGTTCTCGCAGGAAATTGAGAAGCTTTTGCTCCAAGTACCGCTTGTTCAGCGTTATAAAGTCCTGCACGGCCACATCCATGAAGGGGTTGCGGTTCGCTTTCTACAAGGTTCGTCCATAAGTAAGCAAAGAGGCGCAGATAACACGGCTGTCGGAATACGTACATTTAGGTTGGAGGTGGCTACTGGCCTCAGAAGCTCATGATTCTTCTCCTGCAAGTCCTGGAAGTTCTCGTGCATAATCAGCTCCGTCCAGGGCTCCTGGAAGAACATCAGGAAACAATCGATTGTCTTGGCGCTGAAGCGAGCCTTCAAATTGTTGAGCAGCAGCTCGTGCCTTCCGCAGAAGTGCTCCAGGTAATCCAAGTGTGCGGCCTGAAATTGAGAGGAATAGAGGTCATCCATATTCGAGGCGACACAGTCATACCTTATTGCTGACCACCACAATCTCGTCCACTAGCATGGTGTGTGCCAAGCAGACCCGGCAAAAGGTGTTGTCCTTATAGGTGGTGAGGTTGCAAGCAAACTCCGGGGGAAGCTGAGAGGCGAGGTAGCGACGTGGCATGGTCACTTTTGTAATGACATAGTTGAGTGGCAGCAGTGCCTGAAAGAACAGCGGCTCCGAGTACTTGTATTCGAAGTTATCCGGCTTGGGAGTTAGATTCAGGATGTGCATCAGCTAAAAGGAAGAGGATCAATCTCTTTGGCTAATCTCTAGTAAACGGATCAGATTACTTTCCCACCTTGCGGCCCAGCTCCCTCTCGCTGGTGTACTTGTACTGGTAGTTGGGCGCGCCCTTCATTTGGATGAACTTACCCACTGCGTAGATGTTTGGGTCGTTGGTCTGGAAGTCCTCGTTCACTAAAATATCGTCCTTGCGCAACTGAATGCCACATTGCTTCAGCACTTACGAGGAAGGATCGATAGGAAATTATTAAGTGTCGTCTGCGTTGAGATTGAGTACTCACACTTCTTCCTTCTAGGTGCCATGTGCCCCTCGTCGAATGCAATGAAGAGATCGCATTCGAAGGAGGTCTGTTTTTTGCTGGGGAAGTGCTCGAAGACCACTTCCATGATGAAGTGGAATGAATCGTCCTCCACCCAGCGTACAAAGTCATGGTCTTCGACTAGCTCTATCCCAGAGTCAATGAGGATATCGTCCAAGATGTACTGAAGGTTCTTGTCCCAGTATGGATTCTTCAGCTTCTCCTCCGCAGTTATGCCGGTGATGCGACGTGGCTGGACCAACATGATGCGCGAAGGCTCTACGCCGTGGCTGGTCAAAAAGGCAATGCATTCGTAGGTCTGCAGATTAGATCCGTATACGAGTATCTTGTATGTGCGGGGCATCTCCTCCAGCACCGCCCGGACCTTGTAGAACAGCAACAACTTCTTGAGCCTTGAGTTTATTTCCACGAAGTTGCATGGCAGATTCTTGGCCATCGCTGATCTCGAATTTAGTGTCCTCATGGCAAAGTCCTTATAGCACGCCAGCAACAATGTGTCGTAATAGATCTCGCAGCTGTTCTCCAGTTTTACGAACTTCTTCTCCCTACAAATACCCAACGTAATACCCATAACATGCTACGCAGGGAACGGATTCCAAACCTGTTGATAAAATCAATCCTCCCCGGTACAAAGTGCACCCAGTGGCGCAGATCCATGCGGATAGTCACATCTCTCACGTAGCACGAGACGTTTTGGAAGGACAAGTAGCAGGTGCCAGAATTGCAGCAATATGGGCACTGGAATATGCCGTCGAACTCGGCCTCCACAACTCCCGGCATGGTGATCACTGTCACCTGGACGCGGGGCAAACAGGTGTACGTCTCTGAATTCTGGTGACTACGAGGAGACTTTGGGTAGCTTATGCGAAAGAAGACATTACAATGGCACTCACTCCTTGCTGTTCCACTGGAAGACCAGCTGTCGCAGAAATGCCTTGGCCACATCGGTAAAGCCAATAACTACGAGTCTCTCGCTATTGCCAAACCATTTTGTGGGGTTCAATTTGTGGCGATAGATGATCAGGTGATCCTGGTAGAAATTATGCACGGTCAGATTCAGTCTCTCCTTTAAAGTATCTTCTTCCTTAGGGACTCTGAATGTGGTCGGACTCTTTTTCATGGGATTCGGTTCGACGACTGTCATCATCTTCTTCAGGTCATTCGTAAACTGGTGACCCTGCGAGTAAATTATATAGTAGACATGGAGTCTCTTGAAGTCGGGTACCTACATTAGGCGAGGAAACAAAGTAATAATCCCGGTAGCTCGTTTTCATAGCCAGATCCCGAAATATCAGATCGCTACTAATCATAAATAGGGGATGCAGCCGCAACGAAATGATCTCGGCCCGCAAAAAATTCAGATAATTTTGGTGCCTGGGCAGATGGTAGTGATAATGGAGATGATGGTGGCTCCGAAACTGGCGTAGCACCACGAATCCAATGGCGGTATTCTCCCTGGCCGCCTTGGCCGAGTTGCCGCACCGAATGGTATAGACGGCGAACTCACTGAGCTCATTCTCCAGGACATCCTTCATGACGGCGGTGATCACTTCAAGTTCGTTCTTCAGCTCAGCGCTCTCATTGATCTTGGAGGTGTAGGAGAAACTGCTTCCTGTTGAGGAGCCGGAGCTCCCGTCCGACTTCACGTCCGATACACTGGGACCGACGGCCAGGGCTTGAATCACAGCGACGTCCTCCTTCTGCAGTTCATACAAGCTTATCTCCCCGAATATTGTGCTGCGATGGGTGATGTACACCTCTTCCGGATTAGCCACCTCACTGGGGCGAGAGGCAACTGGCTGAAACGGGAAGTTGCAGATATAAATATTCATCTATGCTTAAGAGTTGACAACGGTTGTGGCTAACCATAAAGTATTTGAGCACCTCTACGTGGCTGCGTATGGACTTGGTTTCCTTCGAGATCAGCATCATGCAGTAGTCGCGGTCGGGAAAGGCACAGAACATGGCTACCACGCTGTTGAACAAGCGTTCCAGCGGAAAATCCTTGCGCGCCGCAATGTACTTCAGGACAAACACATTCGATGCCGCATCAAGGGCCAACTCAGATCCCCGTGGATGCATACCGGCACTGTAAACTACACTAATGGATTTTAGCTCTTTGCTAATGTAGTATTCGGAGTTCGAAAGTTCTGCAAGAAAAAAGCGAAGGAGAAAGATATGTGTATGTTCCGTTCAGTAGCAATTGATGACGTACTTCCAATGATGTATTTCATTTTCGAAAAGAGGCTCTCACGCATAAAGAACCTATTCGATCCGCTTGTGTAGTTAGCCTCAATAATTGTGCCATGAATGGAGCTGACTTTCGCCTTTCCACCACTGTAAACGCTGCGGATATACTCGTATCTTTAGGGTATGCTAAAAGGACTAGGTCAATAATTTGCGCACCTTAGGCCACTGTCGTTCTTTTGCAAGCCGCCCAGAATGGTCATAGCAGACAGATCGTCAAGAGCATCTGAGGTGAACAGGCAGGCGGCGTTCTTGGCCTGGACAGAGCTAATGGCCGGGTATCTAAGTTCAGGAGACTGTTTTTTGTTGTTAAAGATGAAAACTTACGAAACGTTGAACATCTCTACATGGACCGACTGACCCTCGATAGTTTTGACCAGATTGCCAAAGGATTCCAGTTCATAGTTCGTCACATAGAAGCGGATGTCGATGTCTGTCGACAGCCAGATGAAAACGGCTGTTTCGATCTCCTGGCAGTCGTTCTCGGTCTCCGCCACGATCAGAAAACTCTTCTCCCTCCCACTATCCGTGCGCAGTATCTCCTCGGCTATGTAAAAGTCTCCCAGCTCCTCACGCATCTCGGGATATTCGTACTCGTGTATTGCCACAATGTCATCATTATCCTCGGGCCTGCAATACCAAGCTTCTGATTAAGATGGCTTTAAGCAAAAGTAGCAGCTTACAAGGCCTTTCGGTAGGTGATCTTTCGCATTAGCTTAAAACGATAGACGATATAGAGTTCCTGCGTATTGAAGTTGTTCTCAACGGAGAACTCGCGTGGATAGTAGACATCGGCATACTTCTCCAAGTCATCAAACGTCTCCACATAGTAGGTGGGCTGGGCAATCGATGGATTTTTGACTGTGATGAGAAACCAAACCCTATTCTCCCTATAGAAAAGTTCCCTCAGAATGCTGGCTATGGCGTCGTCATTCTCGCTCTTATAGACACAAAAGTTAAAAAACATCGTGTTCAAAAAACTAAGCGGCATAGTGAGGCTGCAGGGGAGTATGTCTAAAATAAGCAGTTGTTAATCGGTGTGGTTTCATCCGTGGATTTACCAATATCTGACGGACAGCCACTCTAGCCAGCAATCGCTGGGTAGCGCATCGATCGCGGGATAGTTGCGGAACTCCGCATAGGCAATCATGCTGGATGTCTCCCTATGGAGCACCACCATCCGGTAGGTCTGATAGCATTTGAAGAGCTTAGCCTTTTCCACGTATTTGGGGCGAATGTTGCCGAACCATTTGACGGTGGGCGAGTGGATGAGTGTGTCGATTGCATCCAAGTCATAGATGTCCGCTGTACGCACATGATAATCCATTTCGGAGCAGTAGCGCTATAAATGTGTATCCGACTATGTTGTAACCTGTTGTGACGGGAAAGTCCCTACGTTTATTCGAACTACATTACAACTTTCAACTTTCAGATCGTGCTTTTCGTGGGTGGTGCTATGCCATCGATGAGATAGCACTTGTCCTTGGCATCCTCGCACTGGTCCTTGGTCCCTGCCTTTTCGGTGCCCTCCCAGCGGAAGTACGGACACTCGTGCTTCTGATGGTAGTCGCTCTGGCAGAGAAACACCATCAGGAGGTAGGGCCGACAAGCATTCTTGAGCAAGGCCTTGGCCCCGGGACTCGCCTTCAGCATATTGTAGATGCCCATAGCATCTTTGCGGCAATGCTCGAACATGTTGATGTGGTACTCCTTCTCTTTGGGCCGATCCGCGTATGTGGTCTCCGCATCCAGCTTCACCATCTTCATATTGATCGTGTCACTCTTTCCAATGTACTTCTTCTGCTTGTAGAGGCACTCTACGAAACACTGAAAGAGATTCAGTTCAGGAAACTATCTATCTATACATCCTTGTAAATACAAACCGAGAGAAAGCGCAGGGTTTTTCCGACATCGCTGTCGCCGTCTGGTGGCAGCTTGGATGAGTGAATGGTGAAGCATTTGACCAGCTCCTCCTCCTCCCCGATGTAGAGCTCCGAGCAGCAGCCGTTCCGCTGTTAATAGATGGTATGTTAATGATTATCCCTGTAAATATTTTCCACTACTAATCACCTCCTTGCCGCACTTTTCCTCACTTAGATCCTCGCCGGAGCTGGAGCTGGAGATGCTGCTAGACTCTTCAGAATCCTGCCCCGCGACCATGGCCACCAAGAGAAGAGGCAGCAGCCAGGAACAACTCGTGCGGTTAACCATCGTTCTTTAAATGGAATCGCATTGAGGTTCGGTTGGAATTTATAACATCCGCTGATCTAATTACCTCCAATATTAAATTGGCCACGTAATTGGATTGCTTAATTAAATGTAACAAATGAGACTTTAAATCTGTCCAAGTACAATGAGTAGAAACGCATTCACAGACATTTTGATGGACCGCCATTTCCTGACGATTTATCAACCCTCCATAAAAGCATTCAGAACCTGCAGATAACTTCAGTATAAGCAGAACAATGAAGCCTACAGTTCTATTGACTTTCGCCTGCCTGATCTGGGTAAGCGGATAGTCGTATATCCTAATTTGTGAGTCCTTAAGTTTGCTTTTCAGTTCGCCAGTGGCATTAGCATTGACTGCGAAAATCCCGAGGCCATCAACGAGGAGCACATTCACTACTGTTGCAAGCATCCCGACGGACACAATGACATCATCGAGAAGTGCGCCAAGGAGACGGGATTCCAGCTGCCCAGCCAGACCGAGGAGGCGATGGTGGACATCACAGCGGATCGGGCCATTCGAGGCACCTGCTTTGGCAAGTGTGTCTTTGGCAGTCTGAACTTCATGAAAGGTGAAGAGTTGGACATGGAGGCGGTGCGCAATTACTTCAGCTCCAAGTTTGCCGATGATTCGGAGTACGCCAAGGAAATGATCAGCGCCTTTGACCACTGTCATGGCAAGAGTAAGTGCCATATACCATATGCTTAATTGATCATCTTGACACATCCCTGCTATCCAAGGTGAGGAAAACACCTCCAAGTTCCTGTCGAAGCCCATCTTCCGCCAGATGTCCCATCAATTCTGTGAGCCCAAGTCGAGTGTGGTATTGGCCTGCGTGATCAGACAGTTCTTCCACAACTGCCCAGCCGATCGTTGGTACAAGACCAAGGAGTGTGAGGATACTCTAGCGTTCAGCAAGAAATGTCATGATTCTTTGGCCACTCTTTAAAAGAATATGTAGTAAAGAATATAAAAAAAGTATCTTATTCAATTTTAAATACATTTGTGCGTGTTTTTCTTGAGAATCAGTAGAAGATGATCTCTATCCCAAATATTCCTCTAAAGGTAAACTACAAGGACCATTCTCTAAACATCGATTATTCGATAGCTCCGCTTTTATTGAACAGATATTAATATGATTAGCTTTATAACAGTATTTTGTTAAAATCAAGGAAATAAGGTTATAGGAAAAACCTTCCGGATATCGAATGTATCCTCTTTTAATGTTTAACTTTCAATCTATATATTTCAATGATCCTTTAATGATTTCTGTACCCATAAAAGCATGTTTTCTCAAGTGTTTTCGAAGACTTTCCTTAAAAGTCCCTTCCTCACATGGTGGTTAGGACATCTTTGCACTTCTTGGCAAAGGCCCGCGTCTCCTCGCATTCGGTGGAATTCGACCAACGGCTCTGGGGGCAGTTGTGGAAGAAATTGTATATCACACAAGAGAGGATCACACTGGAGGCGGGCTTGCAAAATTTCCCCGTGCCGAAGGCCCTCACAATGGGCAGAGACAGAAACTGCGATGCGGCATCCTCAGCTGGAAAGGATGTGCCACATGGATTAAGAGCTTCTTCTTCGCGAAATTGAACTCACTATTGGAGTGGCATTTCTGGAATGCGTTCAGCATTTCCGTCTCGTACTCGGCATCCGTTTTGTGGTACTTCTTGTAGTGGGTGTGGACGGCAATCATGTCCAGGGAGTCGTTGCTGTCCAGCAGCTTGTAGTGATCGAAGACGCACTTGCCCCAGCAGGTGCCCACCATGGCCTGATCCACGGTGACATCCTCCATGGCCTCTTCCTCGGTGGAAGGTAGTCGGAAACTTGTCTGCTTGGCGCACATCTCGGTAACCTCGTCATGCCCGTCGGGATGCTTGCAGCAGTAGTGGATGTGGTCCTCATGAATGCGCTCCACATGCCGGCAATGGACGCGAATTGCCGAGAGTCTCCCCTACATTAGTGAAAAATCAATCAGTAGCTCTATTCTGATTTTAGCTACCCACCAGGAGCTGGGCCACAGCCAAGCAGAACACAAAGGTTGCCCTCACCATTTTTGAAAACTGTGAAACCCCTCGCTGGCCCGGGCCGACTTTATACCGGCCCACCGTTCCCCATTGATGGACAGACCTAATGGCCCCCACAATGCTCCGACATTAATTTGATTTGGGGCCCATTATTATGGCAACAGACCTGACGACAGTCGACGAGAGGTCGTGGCACTGTCATAGCGACGCCGTCACGCAATTTATTATTAATTTTCCGAGGCGCGGCTGTCGCTCGCCTTATTAGTCAGAAATTGGCCTTTGAAATTTGATAAGTCGATTTGGGCAATCATTTAAAAAGAAAAACGATTTGCGATGGGCAAAAAGGGTAAAGGAAAAGGCAACAAGCTGGCCAAGATGTCCGAGGAGGAGCGGGCCCGCTATCTCCAAATGCGAGCCGACGCGGAAGAGGAGACGAGGCGCCGGAAAATGCAGCTCATTGCGATGTACATGAAGGTACTGTACTGGGCTCAAGTGATGGCCTGAACCAGAAGGACTCTAATGACTCTAGTCATGTTCCCTTTCCGTAGAACAAACTCAAGCGGGAGGATGCATTCGGGCGGCTGAACATGGCCAAAATCAATCAGGAGTGGCGCAGCATTCTAAGGCAGGTAAAGATTCAGGAGCTGCGAAGGGAAATCGTCGACGTGGAGGCCTTCTTCAAGGAGGCTCTGAAGCGCAAGGACAGTGTAATACAGCGCCTCATAGCGCACATCGGCTCCACGGAGGATATGTACGCGAATCTGCAGCAGTCCCACATGGAGAATATAAGCGGTATCATTGGTGAGATTCGTGTGTATTTCCCAAAACCCTTACCCCTTGACTATTAAACCATCTAATCTAGGTATCCACCGGAGTAGGCTGGAGTTCTTTCGGAATATCTACGAGGAGGATAAGCAGGCGGTTCTGGGTGAATGGGAACAGGACTCGGCTGGCTTCCGGGAAATGCACGCCCAGAAGCAGCTGGAATTGGAGTGCGTATTCTATCAGGTGGAGGAGACCACCGATCGGGAGATCAAGGACAGCCACGAACGATTCCTGGATCGGTGTGAGGACCTTAAGAGCGGTGTAAGTGTCATTCTAATTAAACAGCAGGCTGCCGTACTCTTCCCAGTCGTCGCACTGGGCCTTTGCGTACTCCGACATGCACTTGATCAGATCCCTGGACTGCGAGCACTTATTGTTCCTGTTGCGACTGTTCTCCAGGTAGCGGAAGCACTGCTGCACCGTATCCATGAAGAAGTTGCGCAGCTCCCGATCGCGGAGATCCTTGGTCAGCATATAGCTGACTTTGCGCCGATCGGGCAGGCCATTACCGTCGGCCTGTGGAGGAGTCAGACAGGATGAATGGGTTGAAATGCAGTATACTGTCACCTACCATATTCATCTCCTCGAAGAAACACTGGGCCACACACTGACCTCCCTCGCTCTCCGAGCTGTTTCTGTTCTCCGTCTGCTTCAGGCTGCGTTGCCACCTGTAGCCATTGTTAGTTCTACCGTCCTGTTCCTGGCCATAGTCGTATCGATTTACCTTCCTCCCATAACCTCGGTTGTCCTCGTTGTCGTCCGGTGCATTTCCGTTGTTGTTGTCGTTGCCACTGCGGTGCATGCAGCTGCGGACAACCCTTTTTAACTCCGCCTCGCCGTAGCCCTCCTGGGCGCGGCACTTGAGGCCCTCCACAGAGCAGCAGCAGAGGCAGAATAAGATCAGCCAGATCATTTTGGAAACTGAATGCACGAACAGCAGTCCAGCCTTATATATAGCACTGTGGAATGACACCCTAATTGATGCCCTGACTGACACACAATGGATGCAGCCATCCATCAATTATGACTCGGCTTACGTGCCTGTTTTCAGATGCAACTGCAGCTGGAGCAGATCACCAGCCGTGGCGAGGCCAAACTAGAGAAGCTCTGGCAGGACTACCAGTCGGTTCTCGCTGGCTACTGCCAGCACATCGAGGGCTTTTACTCCGAATATGTGGATCTGAAGCAGCGCGACGAGGAGGCCGCCCTGCAGATCAGCCAACAAACCTACGACATTGAGCACCTGATCGATCAGTTGGCAAACCTTCGGCTCGTCTCGGAGGAGTTCTACACTAAGCAACAGGCCCAGCTGGAGCAGCGTCAGGCCATCAAGCAGCAATTAACCGACCGCCTCAGAGAGCTGCGCACCTGTGTGGAGCAGGAGGTGGCCAGGGATCACCAGACCTTCAAGCTGATGTCCGTGGAGAGCTACAATGCGCAGGAGACCCTGCAGGGAATCGTCGGGAAGGGCGAGACCTTGGTTCAGCTATCGGCGGTCTGTGCGAAAATGGAAACCCAGCGCGAAAAGATGTTCCTCCTTCCCGAGCTGTCGCGGGAGATCATTGAGATTCGTGAAGTTGAGGACCGATCCGACGCATCTACTGACTTGCTCAAGGTACGAATGTAAATCTTTGCAAAGCCCCTTAATCCGTACATGCCTTCCCCTAGGATGAGATAGGAGTGGTGCCGCAAATGGACACCTTCTGGCGTCGCGTCAACAATGTGTCCGTGGACGTGGCCTGCCTCAAGCAGCAGAAGAAGAGGTTGGAGGCGTCCAATAGCCAACTCAAGGCGGAACTCCAGGAGTACCTGGTCAACCTGAACATCGGAAATGGCTCCAACAGCCACATACACGACTACCTATCCAGACGGCCCAAGAGCATGTCTGTGGATCGCGTCACGCGTCTCCAACTGCAGCCCAAGCAGGTGAAGAGCGCCCTGCCCACTGGCCGCCGCCCGCCCCCTCCCACTCCCCCAATATCTCGTCCCAGCCGTGGCCGAGTGGCCGCATTTGAGGCGAACTTCTCCAACGCGGTTCGATCCCGAAATCTAGCAAGGGGACGACCTGAGTTGGCCAGGATTGAGAAGGCATCGTAAAAATTTGTGTCAATATTACTTTCTCTCTTTAGGCTAACATGCATACCATTTGGAATATTACAAAGCGCTTTGGCGCTAAAACGCCGCTACGAGGGCACATGGACATGGCCTGGCTGAAGCTCGTGTGTGCCCTTAATCGGGATGGAACGTTGAACCTGACCGTGCCCCTGGGAAAGTACCGCCAAACAACGGTGAAGAACTATCGTGATTTCTCTCCAATTAGAGTCCGGAATACCTATTTGGGCAATAATAAGAATGATATGGCATTTTGCAACGCCTATCTGCAAAAATTGCTCCAGGATTACAGCCACAAACGGGAGGAGCAGAGGAAAGCCCAGGTTCGGGACACATTCAAGCACAAGTCGTCCTATTAAGAGGATTTTCCCAAGGCGCTTTGTAAGCTTCTAAACTCTGCAATACAAAATTCAAACTCAACGAAGAGGCTGCTACAAATTCAAGACTAAATAAATCGAGCTGCCAGATCAGTGAAAAAGGTGCAGTTTCATTTTCTATACACTCTTTCAAGTGCTGCCAACTTTTTAGAAGAAAAGATATCTGTTTTTGTGGCTGAATTTCCAAAAGAAAATAGAAAACATAGTTAAATACTATATATTTTATATAGCCAGATTTCAGCCTAATAGCAATTTCCGTATATCCGAAATCGAATTAAAAAGAGCCAAAACTAGCTATAAAATAGCTGATTTGGCAACAGTGTGTATAGCATTGTTCGTTGTGCTGCCAGATCAGTAAATAATGTCGTATTTTAATTTATGCGCCTGCATATAACATTTCACTCCCGGCAAGTTAGTTTTTCAATCGGCAATTATACGGTTTAATTTAAATATAAGACTGTATACTTCGCTACTAAAGCAACGCAAAAATAAGCTGTTGTTTTGAATGGGCTCTAAAAAAGGGTATGGACAATAGGAAAAAAAAAGCCAAGGTAAATTACAAGGTTCGTACCAACCTCACCTCGCGTGTGGGACAGTATATTGAGAAAGTGGGTATGATTTTACCTTGCATGCAATTTCTGGGCCGTTTTGTGTATTGTTCATACCCTCTTTTTTCCTGCCTTTATGTAGCAAACGTGTAGTTGTCGTGTAGTTGGCATTTAAACGCATGTAGCAACAAACGCGACTTGATATATTGATATTGTCATTAAATAGGCAGAAAAAGTTAATTCCTGACTAATAAGTTAAAGTAAGTGTAGTGCACTAGTGGCGAGACCCATCAAGGAGGACAAAATATCTGCAGCAAGGCTCCCTGTTGGGGTGTAAATTCCAGATGCAGTTTTTTACAGCCCGAGGAGACGGGAGTGTGAGCTATAGATACAACACTGTTATAGATACAACAACAAAGCTGTAACGGGATGGAACGGGAACGAGGGAACAGCCAGCAGTGATAGGAGGAGGGGAGAGTTGTTGTAATAGGAGAGAGGGGGGCAGCATGTTCTTGTTCTTGTAAAATTACCCAAAAGAAATTTCGTTCGGGAAATGTGGAAAATGTGCGCGAGCTGAGAAACAACCCCGAAAAAGAAGCAATGAAAACGGAAAGAGAGGCCAATCGACAAATAAATATCATTCAGGAAAGCTGAAAAATAAAACTAAAGCGTAAAATAAATAGAAAAAAAGCATCGATAAAACGTTATAAAGAAAGTGTGAGAATCGGAATCAAATGAAATCGAATTCCAAATCAGAATTTGGATTGTAAATTTTCGTCGCTGCCTGTCTGACGCCGCCTAAGAGATAAACACAAAGAGAGAGATAAATACAGAAATAAAATTAATGGAAAAGCATAGACATATGTAGGTAGGAGTATATACATGTACATATGCATATGTATGTTTTATTGGTTGTGCGTGTGTATTGTGTGTAAGTGAGTGAGTGCTTATCTCGGCAGGGAAATGTGAATGGAATTGGAGCAGCAGACGAAGAATAATTTCGGAAGATAAAAACCGAAACGAATCGAAAGGTAAACCCTTGTAATGCTTTAGGGGGTTTTACGACGCCACGCCACGCCTGCCTTCCGTGCACACCCACCAAACATTCCCATGTCCATGTGTATCCCCAATGTGCTCTTTTAAGCCTGGCCAAACTAACAGCTGCCCACATTTCATACTCCTCTACATTGCGTTTCGCATCGCAGGCTACACACACAACTAAAATGGTTGTCGCCAGTTCTCGCATCATCTACTACGCAATATAAGTACTCTCCACGCACTGTCGCTGTCACCGTATCCTATGCATCGACCACATCGTCTCAGCATCGCCATCACCTGGAGCACGAGCACTAACTCTCCTCATCCAACATCATCCAGAATAACCCTGTGGGGCAGCAGGGGGAGTAGGATGATACTTCTTCTGCTGCTGATCGGCCTGGTGACGCCGCCGTCAGCCAGAGGTAAACTCGAGGGCGAAAGCCCAGTCCAGTTCCCTCATTTCCAGCTCACAAATCTCTTGGATTCCCCTCCAATTGCAGCCCAATATCAGTCGCCACGCATTATCGAACATCCCACCGATTTGGTGGTGAAGAAGAATGAGCCAGCGACACTCAATTGTAAGGTGGAAGGCAAGCCCGAGCCCACCATCGAGTGGTTCAAGGTAGGACGGATGGCAGCGGACACGCTATTCAGTGGCTTTAAGTTCTCTCTTAACTTTCTCCTTTTTTGCTTTCCCTCGTTAGGACGGAGAACCCGTCAGCACCAATGAGAAGAAGTCGCATCGCGTCCAGTTCAAGGATGGCGCCCTGTTCTTCTACCGCACGATGCAGGGCAAGAAGGAGCAGGACGGCGGCGAGTACTGGTGTGTGGCCAAGAACCGTGTGGGCCAGGCCGTTAGTCGACATGCCTCGCTCCAAATAGCTGGTAGGTCCAATCAACTCTCGACAACTTGTCTGCCCACACACTAATCTCTTGTGCTTGTGCTTGTGCTCTTTTTTCTGCCAGTGCTGCGCGACGATTTTCGCGTGGAACCCAAAGACACGCGCGTGGCCAAAGGCGAGACAGCTCTGCTCGAGTGTGGGCCGCCCAAAGGCATTCCAGAGCCAACTCTCATTTGGATGAAGGTAAGACCCAGACGACAATCACTTAAATCAGCCAGCAATTCATATATTAATCCGCTCCCCTTTCTCTGCTCACATAGGATGGCGTCCCCTTGGATGACCTGAAAGCCATGTCGTTTGGCGCCAGCTCTCGCGTGAGGATTGTTGATGGTGGTAATCTGCTAATCAGTAATGTGGAGCCCATCGATGAGGGAAACTACAAGTGCATTGCCCAAAATCTGGTTGGCACCCGGGAGTCCAGCTACGCGAAGCTGATTGTACAGGTCAAGCCATACTTCATGAAAGAGCCCAAGGATCAGGTGATGCTGTACGGCCAGACAGCCACCTTCCACTGCTCCGTGGGCGGCGATCCGCCGCCAAAGGTCCTCTGGAAGAAGGAGGAGGGCAACATACCCGTGTCTCGGGCCCGAATCCTGCACGACGAGAAGAGCCTGGAGCTCAGCAACATTACGCCTAGTGATGAGGGTACCTATGTCTGCGAGGCGCACAACAATGTGGGTCAGATCAGCGCCAGAGCCTCGCTCACCGTGCACGGTAGGATTTCAATCTGTTCATTGGGTCAAAAAACCTCTTTTATCTATGGTTTCCTTCGATCCATTAGCTCCTCCAAACTTTACCAGAAAGCCCAGCAACAAGAAAGTGGGCCTCAATGGCGCTGTCCAGTTTCCTTGCATGGCCTCTGGCAACCCTCCGCCTTCTGTGTTCTGGACCAAAGAAGGCGTGTCCACGCTGATGTTCCCGAACAGCTCTCACGGCCGGCAGCAGGTCTCGTCGGAAGGAACGCTCCAGATCAGCGATGTCCAGCAGGATGACGAAGGCTTCTACGTTTGCTCCGCATTCAGTGTCGTAGACTCCTCCACAGTGCGCATCTTCCTTCAGGTCAGCTCGGTAGACGAACGTCCGCCGCCCATCATCCAAATAGGGCCCACCAATCAGACGTTGCCCAAAGGAGCTGTGGCGACACTGCCCTGCCGTGCCACTGGCACTCCCAATCCCCGCATTAAATGGTTCCACAACGGGTATGCCGTGCAGCCAGGCAATCGGCACAGCATCATCCAGAGCAGCTCTCTTAGAGTCGATGGTGAGTGATAGTCGCTATCCCCATTCTAATAGATATAAATAAAGTATCTTCGACCCTTGCAGATCTGCAACTGAGCGACACTGGTCTCTATACATGCACTGCCTCCTCGGAACGTGGCGAGACCTCCTGGTCAGCAACGCTTACAGTGAGTTTAAGCTTGAAAGTTGCCCTTGCACCTGACACACAATTGATTTCATTTGCTAGGTTGAAAAGTCGGGCGCAACTTCAATGCATCGCGCTGCTGATCCCAGCACGTATCCGGCTCCACCTGGCACACCCAAAGTACTGAATGCCAGTCGCAGTAGTATCTCCCTGCGTTGGGCCAAGAGCCAAGAGAAGCCAGGCGCCGTCGGGCCGATTATTGGGTAAGATTTTGGCAGATTATTCCAGTCTGGATTCTTTATAAAAGTGTCTCTCTTTCTCTCTCTCTCACACAGCTACACTGTGGAGTACTTTAGTCCGGATCTGCAAACTGGTTGGATTGTGGCTGCTCATCGTGTGGCCGATACTCAAGTCACTGTATGTTTTCCCTCAAATCAAAACTCCTTTCGATGACTAAAACCTGAATTTTTCCTCTGCAGATATCCGATTTGACGCCCGCCACTTCGTATGTCTTCCTGGTGAGGGCGGAAAACACCCAAGGGGTGTCTGTACCCTCAGGCCTATCGAATGCCATCAAAACTATTGGCGAAGACTTCGATGCGGCTTCGGCCAATGACTTGTCGGCAGCTCGAAATCTGCTCACTAGAAAGGTAAGTTTTAGAGGTTCCGTTAAGGATTTAAAACTCCGACTCTTTGTTTCATATGCAGTCTGTGGAGCTGATAGATGCCTCGGCCATCAATGCCAGTGCCGTGCGTC